ATTGTTATCCTTAAAATTAGTTTAGCCATTCATTTGATTTATTTTAATTTAATTTAGAGTAAATGTACTGAATGATACTGCACAAAGGTTATTTTAGGTAAAAATCTTTTATAAAATCCATTTGCTGAAACCATTTAAAATTGCTTAATTATAAATTATTATTATTATCTCTTTGGAAACTGGCCTCCGAGAGTAAAATGCACCAAGGAACTGACCAGTGAGTATGGCATGTTCATCTGTGCAAATGTATACTCCTGCACAAGGTTACAGAGGAAAGCTGGTATCATTTTGATTGCAAAGGAAAGTAAATACAAATTAGACTTGTGGGCAGTTAAATGTGCATTAGAAAATCAGGCCTTAACAGTTTGTTTGTATTCCACAACCATGGCTAAATTTTGTAAAAAGATTCCCACCCATACGCTTACCAACGTCCAATGCTTGAATATACAGGTGAAACTCGAATAATTAGAATATCGTGCAAAGTTCATTTATTTCACTAATGCAACTTAAAAGGTGAAACTAATATATGAGATAGACTCATTACATGCAAAGCAAGATAATTCAAGCCATGATTTGTCATAATTGTGATGATTATGGCCAACAGCTCATGAAAACCCCAAGAACCCCAAATCCACAACCTCAAAAAAAGTAGATTATTACATGCAATCAATAAAACAAGGATTGTACATAGAACAATATCGGACCTCTGAAAAGTACAAGCATGCATATGTACTCAGTACTTGGTTTGGGCCCCTTTTGCAGCACTTACTGCAATTACTTTTGCACGATATTCTAATTATTCGAGTTTCACTAAAGGATACATTTTCACACTGTTTGTTTCAGACAGAAAAAAGCCCCAGGGAGTAAAAGTTGCATTTTGTTCTAATTATTTGGTTGGGTATGAACTCAGACCAGTATAAAACGACTCCTTGTAATAGGTAAATTCGCTGAAGGACTGGTCAAGAAAAAAAAAAACCATTCAAAAACACTAAAAAGGAACAATTCCAAAAAATTATGGAGGGGTGCTTAAAAATCAGAGGTTTGTGGAATGACAATCATAAACATTGTTTGTGGAATGACAATCTCTGGTTATGTTTTATAAATGTCTTACTTTCTAGTTTGGGGCATGTTGGCAATGTATGTATTTTAGAAAATAAATTTGCTAAATGTAATTTCACAATTTAGGACACATATATTTGTATACAAGGTGCTGCAAAATGCATAAGCTGTGTGTGGGGAGTGCAGGAATTCAAAGTAAATGATCAGAATTCAATAGAGTTAATTTACTAAAGGTTTAGAGGTTGTTCACCTAGCAAAATGAACATTCACTTTGCAAAGTGTATACTCAATTTGACATGTGAATGCTAGTAAATTAGGTGAACCTGTGTTCACTTTGAAAACCCAATTCTGTGTTAGGGAAATAAAAAAGTATATTTTTTGATTTTCCTCATTTGAAAACTATGTTTACTACTCTTTTAGTAAACTAACACCATTGTTTTACTGAGCTCATGGCACTTTCTACATAGTCGCTAGTACATTTTGCACGGAACCCACAAGATATAAATAATTTAGTTTATAATGTTTAAGTGCCCATGCTTTATATATTTATTAACAGCAATTCTGTTGTACATAAGGCAGCTGTGGAGGACAATGGGCAATCTCGCCTGCCTGTGTATGGCCTGTTATAGTTTTGTTTCAACTTGCCAAGCTTACATTTTCTTCTAACACCCAATCCTGTTAAAGTGAAAGTTTATACATTTACCTATTAACCTGATTGGGTATTGAGGAAAATGTTGATTTGCTAAACTTGCAGTCATAAGAATTCTCCCACATTTTAGATCAAATTTTAGATATTTTATTTTATAATTTTGGATTTAGTTACATTTATCCACTTTAAATTGCCTATAGGCAGAAATGTAAAAAAAAAATAAAAATCTTTATAAGAGGACTGCTGGCAAATTAGGTAAATCAGCCTTTATTGTAGGATGTGAACATTTTCAGAATATTTTTTTTTAATAACTTCAGTTTAAGTAATTGAATTGCAGCGCATGCCTCTCATTGTTGTTCATATTGGTATATACACAAGAACTCACCTCTTATATGCAACTGCTTGTATCTTGATTAAATACAAATTTTTTACAGTATTCGCCAGAAACTGCGCAACTACAGCTTCACTTAAATTTGAATGTTTTAATTTGCTGCCTGGACCCAAGAATTCCATTGTCTGTGTCATTGCTCTGAGATCTCCCATTATAAACAAAACTAAAACAGGTCTCTGTCTACGGATCTGGATTCCCAGATCAAAGTGAAAATGTGACTGCAGCTCCCGGGTTATGAACTGAATGCAGGGCAGTGTGATCTAGGAAAGAGGGGCTGTGAAGTACGGTTCCTTTTCAAAACAACTTTTATTGAACAGGCACAACCAAAACAGCATGAAGCAAAGAGAATTGATTGTAGGAGATTCATGTGGTGTCCAAGCAGGCCTCAGGGCATCCACTACCCCCTCCTTTACATCCCCAGGATTCACTTTAAATTAACAATATCTTCAAGACCGGCCAGGATAGCTATAGATAGGTTAGATAAAATAAATAGATATACAGTAGATAGATAGATAGATAGATAGATAGATAGATAGATAGATAGATAGATAGATAGATAGATACAGAAATATTTAATTCTATGAACTTTTAACAAGCAACAACTTTCCCCAGAACAAAAAGACACAACAAAAGCAGGTTTGATTAAAATGGCTTACTTTCATTAAGGGAGCCTTTTGAAAGCTTATTTTACCAATAAAAGCCAATATATTTGCCATTCTATGTGTATTTTATATTTTTCTGTTATTTATAACATAAAAACTGCTAAAAAATATTTATGTTTTATTGTTTAGAATATTGTTCTGTGATTTATAACAGAAAAAAATAAAATAAAAATAAAGATTTTGGATCTGGTGCTGTTTATTCAATTTTACTGGCTTTACTAACTTGAAAGCCAGTAAGATCATTAAAACCAAACCAAGACTTTGGTCACTATTAAACCTCCAGCTGTATCATTCAATGGCATGTTTAAAAAATATTGCTACCAATACACAGAAGAATATGCTCTGAAATAGTGGAGTACAGGTACTGGCACAGAAGGTTACATTTGCAACTGGAATGGCTATTTTTAGTCATTTTTTTTTTTTTTTTAATTTGGCTATTTTATTTATATCTGTGTCTTGATATGTATGTAATGTTGCTGTAGGGTTAACTGATTGACTGTAACTAGTTGTCGTCTTTGAATTAAAAGTAAAAAAAGCTGGCGTATTATTCTGACTATATTTTTTTAAAATTATTTTTAAACAATTTTTTTTTTTTTTGGTGGATCTGTCTTAAAATCAATTATTTTGTATGGTCTGTGTGAACAGGAAGATTTGCAGATATTTTGAGTTTACTAGAAGAGGGCCTCTGAATAACTGTTTGTGTGATAGCTAGGAGGGGGAGTAATTATTCTGAAAGCAGAATCCTTTTGATCTCAAGCTGACTTATCTCAACTCCAGAACATTTTTCTTTGATAAAACAGTCAGAAGATGCTGCAGTTCTTCAAACAAAGGCCCCTTATTCAATGTCAGCCGTTTTGCCTTCTTCGCAAATGTTGGAAACTAAGGAAAATTGATATTTGTGGATCATGTTAACCCCAGGACAGTAGTTTTGCTGTGCCATCCCCTAGACTGAACTATGTTTGTCATCTGTGAAGGAATCTAAAGGAAAACATTGTATCCTTCTAATCTGCTGGCCTAGAACCATTAAATTGTTCTTAACTCATCTGATATGTAAGCATTTTTGGAATGAACCCAGATATTCTTTGCATAATGTCATGCTTTATTAGGAACACCAAATTCTGGGACCAGTAAGAGCTTTTACATAAACCTTTTCTCTATACTACCTGCATTATGTTTTACAAATTCTGTAAATATTGGCAGCCAAGGCACTGTCAGAGCTATGTCAACAACACTTTTTATTTTATATAATTGTTGCTTTTGTTTTGTTATTACTAAGGCTGAATTTAGAATGTTATGATTGCTTAGCAAATATTCCCATTTCTGATACACACATTAAAAAGGGCAATATGCACTGAAAATGTGTCTAACTCAAATCATGAGAGACAAACGGTTAAATGGTGTAAGCATTTGCTGCATTAGATTATCCATCTAATGCAGCAAATGATAGATAGATAAATAGATAGATAGATAGATAGATAGATAGATAGATAGATAGATAGATAGATAGATAGATAGATAGAAAGATAGATAGACACTGGGACTGATTTATTAAAGGAGCAGAGGTTGTTCATTTGTCAATGTGAATATTCACTTAGCAAAACGAATGTTCACTTTGCAAGGTGAATGTTAAAAAAATTAAGTGAGCCCGTGCTTTAATGTTGTATGGGTAAACTAAACAAAACAGGACTTTTGCAAGCACATAATTGGGTGACTGAAATGAGCACATCTTCCTCTTATTTACTAAGCTCAGTGACCATTCATTTGCATTTCACTTTACAAAGTAAACAGTCTCTCTTCCCTAAGTCTAAGAATAGTTTGGCTAAAAAAAAATGCAATTCTTGTACATAATCAGTGTATAAAACTGATACTTCATGCATAAACGAAATTAATAAAACGCCGGGCAGATTGGATTGTGTCAGGAGGTATCGTGCTAAATGTTTCTGCCAATGCCAAGGGAAGATCATGTACCCTGGCAGGGTGGGAAGCTAAAACGTTTTCATAGTATTTTAGAAGTGTATCACAAACCTACAACTGGCACAACAGGTTGTCAAGAACTTTGTGCGAACTATGACAGTGACTTTTATCAAAAATAATTTGTGGTCCTGGCTTCTCCTGTGATGCGCTATATATATCAAATTGTTGTAATGTGAAATATTAGAGCATAGTAGTGCTGCACTATACCTTACATCCCTATAGACTTCTCAGGATCCCGCAGGCTGATTCAAATTACTTAACTTACTTGCTGGCGAAGAATACGATGAACTCTGATACCAGGGGTTGCTACCTTTCTCTCCAAGGCTCTCAGGGTCTGGTTTACATCTTTCTTCCAACTGAGGGAAAACAGGAACCGGAGATATCCCATTCTCTGCAGTCAGCATCCTAGCTGGGAATGAAGCCTGTGCTGTTCCAGTGTTGATAGAGTTCGTAGACTGAGCTTTGCTGGGTTTTCTATCAGAGATTAGAGCCTCCACACTGAACGGCAAGGCTTGGCTCTTCCACCTACAAGTCACCTCTGGAGTGCTGCTGGCTACTGGCATCTCTGTCTTACTGTCCTCGGGCTCTTTAGGGCTTGTCCCGGGGGACCCTACTTGGTCAGAATTCATAGTTAGTAGGTAAGGGGCCATATAATGTTTTCCAGAGTGATTGACAATGAAATGGAACAGAAGAGGAGCTGCACTTGATCCAAGAAGAGCAGGGGTTCACGGAAGCTTAGGAACTCTTCTTGCAGACTATTTGATTACTTGAAGAGTAATTTCCCTGGTTCCATGAGAAAAGGTGGTCACCAGAAAGGGAGTAGCTGCATCTGGTCCAAAAGAAGTAGGTGCTTATTCGTTAGACACTAGGTGATCACTTGTAGATGAGGAGCTGTCCCGCTCCCAGGAGAATAGGTGGTCACCTGCAGAAGAAGAGGGGCTATACCTGGTCCAAGTGGAGAAGGTAATTGCTGGTTCCTTACGGACTAGATCACTTGTAGATGAGGAGTTGTCCCTGTTTCCTGAAGAAATGGTGGTCACCAGCAGGAGAGCAACTGTACCTGGTCCAAGGAGAGTAAGTGGTCACTAACAACTTAGAGGCTAGGTGATCACTTGAAGATGAGGAGCTGTCCCTGGTCCCAGGAGAATAGGTGGTCAACAACAGGAGAGGAGCTGTCCACAGACAAGAGGTGCTGCCACAAGATAACTTCAATGGGAGAAGACATGGCAGGTATCAATTATCAGTAACCTAGGACATCAGGGAATATGACATCCTTGCATCAGACATGAAAAGTGCTTCTATGTGTCTCAGAGAAGTTCACAAGACTCCGGATCTTTGGCCAGCAAAAAAGCTTCGCTCCTTCTGCCCTCTCTCTCCTCTCCACAGCTAATAAAGTGCTCTCAATTTCCTTTCATTGTACCGCCCTCCAATCATAAGGACAGACTCCTTACAACGTCACTTCAGAAGGTTTCAATTGGTCCACAGCCTCCCACATCCCAAACTCAGAACCAAATAATAAAAGGGGAATGAGAGAGGAATTAAGGGTTCATGAAATAACCCTGGCTGTGTCTTTAATGGCTGCACAGTGAGGGGCTATATGAGTGCAAACAATCGGTAGGCAGCCATATAAAGGAGATCAACCTGCTTTTTTTCCAGCACTTATTGTGTCTTTCCCTCTGCTGTTTACCCCAAAGAGCATTCACAGTAACAAACATGTAATCCCAAATGACTCCACAGCACTACTCCATTTAGATAAATAGATGACATAAAACACGTGCACTCTGTTAGGGTCTGACCTGGCTACCCAAAGGGGTATTGACCATATTTACAGTTCACGTGATGAGCTTCCCCCTCCTCTTCTCACATTCATTAAGCTGTCATCTTAATTAAACAACACGCATTTTCCCTGCCAGGGCAATTAATAACCATAATTATTATTACAGAGTGGCGACACTGTTTTCTGGGCATCAAAGCCAAAGAACAGAGAAGTTCATTAGCAGCTCCATTCAGCCCTGGGAGCGGCTCCCCTTAGCTGAGTAATGGTTAATTTATGGCACTGGTCGGGACTGTTGCTGCGCACTGAATTGAAAATCACCAAGCAATCCTTCAGCAGAAGTCAGAGCATTTAATAAGGCAGACAAGTTATGTTCTGCTAGGCGCCAGACTCGGCAGGATCAAACAGAGAAGCTACCTCGGGGAGAATGCACTCGCTTAGCTTACTGCAAGCACACTGTGCACGACTTTTCTCATAGCCTGGACCTGGAGAGCGCCTTAACCCATGCAGCGCTGGAGCCCGGACACACGGGCAGCATCGAGCTGCGCTTCTGGCTGCTTCTAACGCAATCCACTGCGCTCCACCTTTCCAGAATAGAGACCCTAATGTACCTTTGTGTATGTCAAACATAATACCATTTCCCCCCCATGGCAGAGCTCTGATTTTTATTTTACTTTCACAGTAGTTAAGCATCATCTGAGATATCAATATACTTATTGAATTTTTATTCCATGCAACAAGTTAATGTGGTCTTCTGATATTGAAATCCTATGCTGTTCTGGGCATCCGATCCACTGCTGTGCATGTAATCCCTGACAGCTAAAAGTTACAGATAGTCATGAGTTTATCAAAATATACATCCTTCTTCCACAATATGTCATCCGAGATATATATGTATATATAGTTATAGTGAAAGTGAGTTCAAGACCTTCCTATGCTATTATCATACACTTTCCTGCTTACCAGGCTGACCATTATGAAATCCATTCATTAAATGGCTGTTTGTGAAGCCTTAAAACAATGGGAGTCAGAATGATGGACCCATTACCTCCAACAAATGCTGGGGCTGATTTGGATCGGTCACCTTAACTTGTCTTCACATCAGAAAGGGACATTTATTTGTGTGATTTATTTTTTAATACATCAGGCCCATTGATCTGATCCAGTGGTGGGTGACAGCAGTTCCTGTAGGTCAGCCCAGCCGAGTACAGGTCCGGCTGGTGTTCATAGTATATGGCATGTTGGACTCTGAAATATTTCATCAACATACTGTTTTTACATTAGGGTTAGGGTTACAGCTTCGTATTAGCTTATCAAGATAAACGGGACATTTCTAGGGGGCTCTGTGTTTTTCTGTTATATCAGTTATTATATGATGCACTGTGTTTTTCTGTTATTTTATTTGATGTACAGTATTTTCTGTTATATTAATTATATGATGCACTGTGTTTTTCTGTTATATTATTTGATGTACAGTATTTACTGTTATAATAATTATATGATGCACTGTGTTTTTCTGTTATATTATTTGATGTACAGTATTTTCTGTTATAATAATTATATGATGCACTGTGTTTTTCTGTTATATTATTTGATGTACAGTATTTTGTTATATCAGTTATTATATGATGCACTGCGTTTTTCTGTTATATTATTTGATGTACAGTATTTCCTGATATATTAGTTATTATATGATGCACTGTGTTTTACTGTTATATAAGTTTGTATATGATGTTTTGTGTTTTTCTGTTATATTAGTTATTTGGTGTTCTGTGTTTTTTGTTGTTGTTATTTTAGTTATTTGATGCACTGTATTTTTTGTTATGAGTTATGCAACGTGTTTTCTGTTATATAAGCTTATACGTGATGCACTGTATTTTTCTATTATAAGAGATATATGGTGCATGTTTCTGTTATACGAGGAATACCTCGTGATGCACATGATGCACCATTACATGGTGTCCTTCCGTTGTAGGAGGTATCCTATTGTGCACTGTTTTAAGATATATCTGTGGTGTGGTGCGGTGCATTGTTTTATCTCTTATAGGAAATATTAAAATATCCTCTGTGTTTTGGCTGTTATGAGATGTTATATGGTGCACTGTGTTTTCTGTTGTATGAGTGCTTATATTATGCACTATGTTTTCTGTTACATTTATTATATTATGCATTGTTTTTTTTAATGTTCTATTTATTGTATTATGCACTGTTATTTCTATGATATTAATTATATGATGGACTGTTTTTTCTGTTATAGGTCATTTTATATGGTGCCTTTTTCCCTTATAGGAGAAATTATATGATGCATTGTATTTTACAGTTATATGAGTTATTACATAAGGCACTGTGTTTTTCGATTGAGGTTTTATATGGTGCCTTTTCTTCTCTTATACGAGGTATTGCACGATGCACTGTATTATACTGTGTGATACAGTTATATGCGTTATTATGCTGCACTGTTTTTCTGTTAAATAAGATATTTATGAGGCACAGTATTTATTTATATATTCAGAATCCAGTGAGTTTTGCTATAGTATATGTTTCACTGATTTTGTGTTATATACATTCTGCTACAATATAGTTTTTCTGTTGAATGAGCTATTTATGATGCACCGTATTTATATATAAGGTATTCTGGTTGCACTGTGTTTTGCTATATTATATGTTTCAGTTTTTGTGTTATATAGATACAGATATAGATAAAATACAGTTACAAAACATTTTCATGTGAAATGAGGTATACGATGCTGTTATTTTCCATTATGACTATGCAGCACAAAGACACCTGTTTATGCCAGCAGACCACAACAATTTAGTTTATAACATTATGCAGAAATCTTACCTATTAAAAAAAGAGTATCGTACGATGATGATATTTGTGTAGAACACAGATCGTTGCTAGACTCTCCAATATACTGTATAGAGTGATATACATGCTGTATATAAATAATAGATACGTTTAGCCCATCAGACAAGTATGTGTGTATACACAGGGCCAGCTGTAGATATGAACGAATGTCTGTATAATATGACACACACTGAAGTTGATTATAGATAGGAGAGATAAGGGGTGCCTGGCAGGAGCCATAATTTGGCGGTCTGCATCTCATTACTTGATAACATTTCTATCACAAAGCACTTAGTTTGATAGCATCATTTATTCTGTTCGGATGAATGTGGAACATTTTGTCCAGTGCTTCCACGATGCCACATGTTCATGTACTTTGAGGTATAAATTACATTTTCATGCAGTGTAATCTTGTCAGAGAAGTGATTTGATCCCATGTAATATGTGGAATTATACAGAGGAATGGAACTCGAGTTAACCCTTTCACGTCAGAAAGGGAACATCCTTTGCATTGAGCGATTTTTGAAGGGGAATCACCTTTGGCTATATGATTAATTATAAAAAGCGAGTGGTAACATTCAGAAGTCAAATTACTAAATATAAAACTGTATTTGACAATCCAGCTATGTTGGAAATGTGAAGTGAACGGATCACCGTGGGCTTATGCAAAATCTGACTATTTAGTCTTAGGCTATCGTCATTGTGCAGGTTTACTTATGGAGGAGTTATATTTGTTCCCTTATTAAAAGGACACTACTCAGTTAAATCTTAAAAATGCATTCAAGTACCTTAACTATTAGCAAAAATGTATCTTATTTGTGCTGACACTGTCCTTCCTTCTGCAGGGGGGCTTCTTTTCTTCTCTATGGTCCCTATGTGTGGTAAAGTAGCCACGGCTCCAAGCTCCCTCCTGTGATGGGCTACAATCTCAATACAAATTAGTAAACTAAACCTGAGATTGTAGTTCATCACAGGAGGGAGTTTGGAGTAGTTGCTACTTTACAACACACACAGGGACC